ATATACACTTGTACACTTATTACACTCACGCAGCTATTTGGGTTAATTCCAAGAAGGGGGGTCACAGTACTTTAGCCCAGCCCAGAACTGGCCGACAGACCTTTGGTCTTCCTAGTTTTATTGGGCTTCTATTTCAGCAAAATTATAGCCCAAAATAAAGTAACTCGAACTGGATAATTGTAAGATTCGAGAAGACAAACAACTAACCTAGTAAAATCGTGGGTCTGGGGTAGGGTGTACGCAGACCTTACCTCTACCCCAGAGGGGGTACGGGTATATATATATAGCCGAAAATAAAATGTATTATATATATATATATATAACCAGTGGGGTCTGGGGGTAGAGNAAAAGTAAAAGATAAAATTATTATACCCCACCAATTTTGTTTCCATGTGAAAAGACCACGTAGGGCTCCATTCCCATCTGGACCTAGTATCTGGGTTTACTTTGGTAGCCCAAAAGTCCATTAGGAAAAACGACACCCTGTAGTCGCTTTAAAAATAATAGTCGGAAAATATATTTTATATATATATATATATATATATTGTATGTTATATACAAAAATTATATACTTTTTCGGCTACCGAATGTAAACAGTTCCTGGCGCGGGTTAAGAATAAAAAAAAACCATAATAAATAAAGGCATTTTCATACAAATAGCTTGTCAAAGTCGCTAAGAATCCTAAATAGTGTCGAATAAAAGGAGAACTTTAACTATGTAACCAACATACATCAATATTATGCTAATCTGAGGATCTTCTAATTTTCCCATTAGAAAGATTCTAACATCTTAGTTCCACAATATATTTAATTTTTCAAAAGAGAATAGGGTTTTCTAATCCACCCCTCATTTTCCTACTCCTAAAATGCGAGGAATATTATAAAAATTATTAGAGAGTGAAGTGTGACCTTTAGAGTCATAAAATGTAATTGTATCATGTTAACTGTTGAACTAAGAGTTATTGACAGTTGTGTACAACTAATTATATGTAATAAGTTAGTGGTATGGTTAGTCGGTAGTTATGAGTTAAACAATAGAGAGTTAGACGGTTAAGTAGTTGAGTAGTATAAATGTACAGTAGCTTTCCATTTTTCTGTTATGGCAGTTATACAGTAACACGAGTACAACTGCTCCTTTGCTTTCCTCTTCTTCTTCTCGGCTTTCATCGCCATAACTAGGAGTAGAATCTAGAGTTCATCACGGTATCAGAGCTTGAGTTAACGATCTACATCACTCGATTTTAGCTCTAGATCCATCGTCCTCAATTTTATCTGTTACTCACTCATTCGAGCTGAGCAATTGCTTCGATTCCCAAAAATTAGGGTTAGATCAATTTTGAGCAATTGATATTTGTTGTGTACATCATTTGTGTGAGCTAAATTTTCATTGATAATGGCGATTGCTAACGAGGATAGTGGATCGACCGGGAGTTGTAGCTGCAGCACTAGTGATCGATCAGCATCATCCTTTGTTTTTGCAACCCAACGACACTCTAGGTAGTTCTCCCATCTCTGTCAAGCTCACAGGACCTGAAAATTATACTTTGTGGAGTAGCAATATGCGAGTTAGTTTGTTAGGGAAAGTAAGTTAGGGTTTGTAGATGAAAGGTATCCAAAAGAGAAGTTTCCTCCTATTCTTCACGAACTTTGGGAAAAATGTAATACTATAGTTCTATTATGGATTATGAATTATATGAGTGCTGAATTGTTGAGTGGCATGATCTATGCTTCAAGTGCTCACAAGGTGTGGATGGATCTCAAAGAGACATTTGACAAAGTTATGGTTCTAGAGTGTCATATCTGCATAAATAAATTGCAACCTTGACTCAAAGACTTTCATCTGTGTCGGCTTATTTCTCAAAATTGAAGGAGCTGTGGGCAGAATTTGATGCTCTTATGCCCTGCCCTGGGTGTGGCTGTAAAGAGTCAAAGATATATTTTTGAGTAATTTGAGTACCAAAGGCTACTCCAGTTTCTCATGGGCCCAAATGAGACATACTCTCAGTCAAGCAATCAGATCCTGAACATGTCTCATAGGTCTTCCGTAAACAAAGCTTACTCAATGATTATATCAGAAGAAAGTAGAAGAGCAATGTCCTATTCCTCTTTAGTATCTGAAATTAATGAAGGCACAACCTTGTTCAGTAATAAGGGAACATCTTCTGGAGCTCCAGTTCAGCTGAATGCAAAAGGAAACCTTGGGCAAAATCACAGCTTCTTGGGAAATGAGGTGACATCTTTGTTCAGTAGCAAAGGGAATGCAGGTGTTGGCTATGGTCATTCTGGAGGTGGTAATCACTCAGGCCCCAACTACATATCCAGAAAAAATAATCTAAATTGTGATTATTCTAACTTCAAAGGTCACACATGGTAAACTTGTTACAAACTGAATGGATATCCACCAAATTTTAAGCCAAATAAGAAGGGTGGATTTGATAATACAATTAACTATGCCCCAAAAAATATTGACAACTATGTGTCTGATACTTCCATTGGCCCTGCACAAGCAGGATCTACTGCTAACTTTGCAGGAACCTCACAGATGCAACAAGCAAGTCAGAACTTCCAAGCTGGAATTCCTCAATTCACTCACGAGCAGTACAGTCAGATTCTTTAACTTCTAGGAAAGCAACCCGAGTGTAGTGGTTCTGCTACGGCAATAGGTATGTCATTATGTGGTGATATTACTAAAATTCTGCCTAAATGGATTGTAGACTCAAGGGCTTCAAGTCACATGGTACATGATTCTAGTTGGTTGGTTAATTATAAAATTATTGATGATAAAGGTGGAAAAGTTCACTTACCTACTGGTAATGTAGCTCATGTTAGTCACATAGGGTTTGCTTACATTCTTAAGGATCTAATAGTATTTAATGTGATGCACATTCCTGACTTCAAGTATAACGTTTTATCTGTGTCCAAGCTCACAAAGGAAATGAGGTGGTTGTTATGTTCTTCCCTGACTTCTTCATTTTCCAGGAGCTCTTCAGTGGACAAGTGAGGGAAATTGGTAGAGAGGAAGATGGATGTATGTGTTCAACTCTACTTCAAAGACGTTAGTAGCACTACAAGCTCAAAGTCCAATTGCAGAAACCTTGAATGTTCCAAGGCCAATACCCACTGTAAATATAATAAAGGCTCATAATAAGGTAGTGAGTGTAGCTTTGTGTCATAAGAGGTTAGGTCATGCACCTCTAGATACTTTGAAGAAACTAAATGGTTTTCATGATTTTCAAGTTGCTGGATGTAGTAGTAAATACAAGCATTGTACTGTATGCCCTTTAGCTAAACAGACAAGACTACCATTTCCTATTAGTCCTACCTTGCCTAAATCCTACTTTCACACTATTCATGGTGATGTTTGGGGTCCTTACAAGGTCCCTACCTATGATGGAAAGAGGTATTTCTTGACTTTGGTGGATTATTGTTCTAGGTATACATGACTCTTTCTTTTACCTATTAAAACCGAGGTTATTGTTGCTCTTATATCTTTTTCACTATGATTAAGAATGTTTACTCAACTTCTGTTAAGTTTTTTAGATCTGATAATGGATGTGAGTTCTTTAACTCACATATGACTGAATGGTTACAATCCCTGAGAATTATACATCAGAGCTCATGCATCTACACTCTACAGCAAAATAGAGTTGCTAAAAGAAGACATACGTATATTATGGATATTGCTAGAGCACTCAGATTTTTGACCTCAGTACCATTAAATTTATATGGAGAGTGTGTCAATAATACTGTATACATCATTAATAGACTCCCTTCAACTGTACTTCATAAAAAAAATTCCTTTTGAGATTATGTTTGGTCATTCACCTTCTGTACAACACATGAGAGTATTTTGATGCTTGGGATATGTGACTACAGTTAGAAGACCTGATAAATTTGCTCCTAAAACATGTCCTGCAGTCTTTCTAGGTTATTCTGCTACACAGAAAGGATATAGGATATTTAGGCTTCATACAAAAGAATTTCACATAAGCAGGGATGTAGTGTTTAAGGAGGATGTATTTCCTTTTCAGCACATGAGTTTTACTATCTCAACTTTATTCCATATCTTAGATTCCGCTACTATTTCCTCAATTGTTCCTGCATATGCTTTATGGACTCCACCTGCTCAGTCCACGCCTCCTTCCTCTCCGGTCTCTTTTGATTCAGTTGTGCCTTCTATTCATCTTTCACCTATTAGTGGTCTTACTGATCATGCCACAGTCAATGATGCTCGTGTTCCTAGCAAATGGAATGCACATTATTGTTATCATATATCAGACTGTGTCAGTTATGCCAATATGTCACCTTCCTTTGGAGTTGCTTACTCAGCCATTTTGGAACCTAAAACCTACAATGAGGCAATAAAAGATGCAAAGTGGATTGAGGCAATGAAATGTGAAATCTCATCTTTAGAGGACAATCACACATGGGCAATAATGGATCTTCCTCCTTGGAAAGTTCCTATTGGATGTAAATGGGTGTTCAATGTCAAATATACCTCCTCATGTGCAGTAGAAAGGTACAAGGCTAGGCTTGTAGATAAAGGATATAGACAACATGAGGGGTTGGACTACACTGAGACCTTCTCGCCTATAGCCAAAATGGTTATAGTCAGGTATATTCTAGCTATTGTTGCAGCCAAGCACCAGTCCATCTTTCAAATGGATGTACACAATATTTTTCTCCAAGAAGACTTGCTTGAAGAAGTTTACATGGAGGTTCCTCCAGGGTATGGTAGCTAGGGGAGCACAGTGTCTCCAAACTTCATAAGTCCTTATATATATAGGCTTAAGTAAGCTCCTGGGCAATGGAATAAAAAGCTAACAGATGCTTTACTACAGTTTGGCTTCATTCAGAGTCACTTTGACTACTCACTATTCACCTGAAAAGTGGAGTTTGAGTTAATAGTGGTGCTGGTCTATGTGGATGGTTTGCTTGTATCTGGGAGTAGCCAAAAGTTAATTCTTCATACTAGAAATGATTTGAAGCTCAAGTTTAAAATGAAAGACTTAGGTGAACTCAAGTTCTTTCTTGGAAGTGAGTTTGCTAGATCAAATAAAGGGACTGTGATGAGCCAAAGGAAGTATGCTTTGGAACTCATTGCAGAGATGAGGCTCAGGGGTGTAAAATCAGCTGGTACACCTTTGGAAGCAAATGTAAAACTCACATCTGAAGAATATGACAGGTTTGTTCACTATCAATCCTCTTCTGAAACAGAAGATAAGTTACTAGCTGATGCTGGAAAATACCAAAGGCTGATAGGCAGGTTACTCTACCTTACAATGACTAGAGTTGACATTGCTTATGTAGTACAAGTTCTGAGCCAATACATGCACGAACCAAAGCAGTCACGCATGGAAGCTACATTACGAGTGGTAAGGTATATTAAAGGTGCTCCATGACTTGGCCTTCTAATGCCATATGTAGGTTTAGGAAAACTGGAAGGTTTTTGTAGATTGGGGAGGCTGTCTGCAGACCAGAAGATCAGTTACGGGCTACTTGGGTGAAGTTTGGGAATGCACTAATTTTCTGAAAGTCAAAGAAACAAGAAGCAATGGCTAGAAGCTCTGCTGAGGCAGAGTTTAGGAGCATGGACTTAGCAGTTGCTGAACTTACCTAGCTTATAAGGCTATTCAAGGAGTTAGGTGTGGATATTGAGTTGCCTATAACTCTTAATTGTGACAATAAAGATGCTATCCAAATAACAGGCAATCCTATATTTCATGAAAAGACCAAACACATCGATATTGATTGCCATTTTGTTCGCGAGAAGATAGTACAAGGATCGATCAAAACACATCATGTGTCCACCAAAGAGCAGCAGGCTGATCTCCTAACAAAGAGCCTTGGTCGAGTGCAACATGACTACTTAATGTCCAAGCTGAGACTGGAAGATATCTTTCAACCATCAGCTTGAGGATGGGTGTTGAACTAAGAGCTATTGACAGTTGTGTACAACTAATTATATGTAATAAGTTAGTGGTATGGTTAGTTGGTAGTAAAGCTGTCAAACGGGTCGGGATGGCCCGGTTCCGGACCGGCCCAGATCGGTTTTAGCCCAGACCGGACCGGTAGTAAGGGGCCGGGCAAGGTTGGGTTGGGGCGGGGACCGAAATGTGTCGGGTAGTTTTTTGGTACTGGTTAACCGGAACGAAACGACCCATTATGGTCAAGTCGTTAACCGGACCGGCCCTGACCGGTAAAATGAGTATTTTTTGATTTTTTTGATTTTATAAAGTTGACGATTGTTATCTAAAAAAATAAAAATTAATCCGGCCCGGAACCGTTCCGGTTCAATATTTGACCGGATGAGACCGGACATGTTAAGCCCGGTTTGAAAAAATCGGTAACCAACCCGAATTGGTGAACGGCCGGTCACTTTTTTACTCAACTCGGCCCGGCCCACCCCTTTGTCATCTATAGTTGTTAGTTAGGAGTTGACCAATAGAGAGTTAGGCGGTTAAATAGTTGAGTAGTATAAATGTACATTAGCTTTCCATTTTTCTGTTATGCCAGTTATACAGTAACAAGAGCACAAACTGCTCCTTTGCTTTCCTTAGCTTCTTCTTAGCTTTCGTCGCCATAACTAAGAGTAGAATCTAGAGTTCATCAGTAATGCAATAAGAATGTAAACCAAGACTTAGACCTTGTTCTCATATATATGCCTAAAATTATTATAAAAATACTATGGAGAAAGATTATAATAAAACCAAGCTAAAATGTTAAAAGTTGTTATCATATGATTATGAGGTCTCGATTCAAGCCATGAAAATAATTACAATAAATATAATATGATTTGACATTTTCTCTCTATCCCGTATATGACAGGAGCTTAATGCATGAGGTTGCCCTTTATTAAAAGGTGTTTTAAGTTTGCAAGATTTTATAATGTATGTGGTAAAACAACAACATAACTAACTGGAAATTCGTAAGTCTATAAATTTCACTCAAGGTTCAAATCTTGAAATTATAGTCATACAAAACCACACAAATTTATCTCAATATGGACCACATCTTATCATCGTAAAATAAGTATGTATTTGATGTTTATATATTTTTGTAACTTATATAATCAATAGATTAGCAGTAACAATAGCCCCTCTCATTAATATCCAACTTATATCTACATACCAACAAGGTTGTGGTGAAGTGGTAAGCACGTCATCCTTAATTAGAGGTTTCGAACCATAAGCACTCATTCATCCTTAATCATAAGTTTCAGGTTCGAATCCTGAGTATGAAGTCGCCTTTGTTAGAGAGCGCTTTAGCCCTAATGTGATATTTTCCGACGCGAACTCAAATTTAATTAGGTCATAATGCAGATACCGGACACTGAATGAGAAAAAAAAAAGCCTTGTATATAAATTAATTGTGCACTGTAGCTTGATCTACATACAACCTCTTTTAGTCTTAATTAAATTAAATACACAGCTTGTAGACACAACTATGGGAAACAGTAATAAAGTATTAGTGTTCGGTATAGTACATTCACTTTAATAATTAGGACTACCAAACTTTCATTTCTGCGCTGTGTTTATTGAACAAAAACTTGTTTTTTTAGTTCGTCTTATAACTTCTATTAATTCAAGAAAAAAGTACTCCCTCACAAGTTAGGAAAAATAGCATTGGCAGCTTAGGATTCTTGACCTAATAAAGATTTCCAACAAGAGCTACTTACCAAACTTTATTAAATAAAGCTTAATCAAATACTTGAATGTTAGATGAAAGCAAATATATCATAAACTGCCTCATCAATATGGATAACTTTAAAAAATTATTTTTAAAAAAATCACCAATATTATTTGTATTGAATTGTTTAAATTAAAGTTCAACAATAGTCATCTTCAAGTGACAGGGTAATATATATATATATATATTAAAAATAATAACCGATAAAATATTTTTTTTGTATATATGCATATTATTTATATCTATATTATTGTAAAAGCATGAATACAATGTCCGTTTACAAAAATAACCTTATAATATTAAGCATAATAACTCATAATAAAAAATCATAACCAGAATTCTAGATATTAGCCTTATAATCCCATTAGTTTTAGGATATGATACTACACGTTAGGAATCCTATTAGTATAATTACTCTCGGGTTGTCTAATTCATATAAAATTGAACAAACAAATATCTTTCGTCGTGTAATCCTATTACTTTTAGGATATTACTTATTAAAAATTCTGATTACTAATTTAATTTGAAAACGTATTATAATATCCTATTACTAATTTAATTTGAGAATGTATTATATAGTCCAAATCCATTTAGAAAAAATGAGAGTCTATATTATTATAAAATCATAAATACAATATTAATATATCAAAATAGCCCTAAAATATTAAACGGAAGAACTCATAGGAAAAGGACATAACTGCAATAACCTATTTTTTGGACTACAGTATCTTCTATGCTAATTTTTAGTATTTAAGAATTTAAATTAATAAATTTTGTCTATTAAATTCTCATTAAAAATATGTAGGATGGTTTAATAAAATTAATTTCTTCCTTCGTATTGGAAGTACATTACCACTACATAATATCCAATACGAAGAAAAAATAAAAGTAATATTAAATGGATTGCATAAAGAGTTGAAATTGAAATTGAGAAAAAAATACCCCCACGATAATATATTTTTGTTTTATATTTGAACTATTTTTCTACTCAAATAATATTTTTTAATTATTTTTTCATGTGATATTAATAAATACCCAATTATTAAACAACAACTAAGAAAATATTTAAGAATGTAAATGTGTGAGAAAGAGAGAAAAAATGGTTAGTAAGAGTCAATACCACTATTGATTCTACAAACATAAAGATCTAAAAGTAAAATGTCATATAAATCTTTTACTCTTTGAAAATAAAATTTACATTGGATAAAATTATAATTAATATTAAATATTCGAAACAAGAGATGAGCTAATATTGAGATCTGAATCAACATAGAATAAATTATTTTTTATGTTAAAATCAAATAATTAAATATTTTAATTAATTATTTAGCAAAAGAATCCAATTCAATTATTTCTTAAATTCATCATATGAGTAAAATTCTTATTCAAGTTAAAAAATATCTTAGGGTATATAAATTTATTCCACAAAAAGAGCGTTAGAACACAAAGTAAAAATGTTAGTATATTATTAAGAATCAAAATGTTGTACAAGTATATGCAGAAACACAATCAAAGCTAAATCCTAAACAAGAACAAGCTTTTAAGACTATATTATAAAGAGTCGACTCTGGTATAATTTCTTTGTAGATGCCTCGGCGGAATCGAATTAATATTTTAATATCATGAATTACTTGCAAATATCATATCAAGAGGCATGACACTGTTAGCAATGATATCAAGTGATGTACCAACAACGATTTTACCGTGAGGCCACCCACTTTAGATTTGATATACCTCTTCAAACAACTTAAATAACCATCACACATATATCAAAGTAGAGTAATGTTGCTAAATTTACAAGGAAAGCAAAATCAATAATATGGGATGAAGCACTTATGGCTAAATGTCAAACGATCGAAATAATTGCCCGGAGTTCTCGAAATATATTGGATATTAATGAACCGTTTGGTGAAAAATTAATAGTTTGGGAGGTGATTTCTGTCAAGTAGTACCAGTAGTTCCAAAATCGACAAAAGCTGAGATTGTAAAAGCTAGCTTGCCAAAGTTATACTTCTGGCCTCAAACGAAAAAGATTCAACTGACAAGAAATATAAAGTAAGAACAGATCCAGTATTCAGTGTCTACTTGCTTCGTGTCGGAAACGAAGAAGAGCATCCAATAAAATATAATTTGGTTCTTCCTTAACATTCGGTTATCAATTCCAATGGTAATATTAGTGCATTCAATAAGAGAAATATTTCTATCATTAGATTTTGTGCAAATCGTATGATAGAATTAAAAAGATATCTTAGCTAGCAGAAATGAATATGTTGATCAACTAAATAAAAAGGTTGATTATAAAATTTTATAGCAAAAACAAAATATTTTTTAGCTTTTGACTCGGCAAAAAATGATACCAATAATTACTACCAAGAAGAATATTTAAATACTTTAATACCAACTGGTCTTCTACTATACATATTGTTGTCAAGTTTCTTATTTCTTACGTATGTTAGTGTCGCCGTATATATAATAAACTTAGTTAAAATTGATCTTCCATTGTATATAGGTTAATTTTGAAGAAAGAATATGCCCGTCATGCTACTGAAAAACTTAGATACACCGAATAACTTATGTAATAGCACACAGATGTTATATAGAAGTTTTGACAATAATTGCACGAACAACTGTATGTTGCACTTTCAAGGGAGACAGAGCAACCAACGCATTAGGAGGAAGCATACACACAAAAATATTGTCCACAAAGAAGTGTTCGTTAAGATACCATCACATTAAATACTTTTACATGACAATATATAATTATCTAACTAACATGATAAAATTGATCGTTTGTGTAAGTTTTGATGATATCCTTTTATTTTAAATTCATGTATTATACTAATGTAATAATATTTTTCGACATTTAGATGATTGTTGTATATATTTATACATAAACTTTCTCTCATTAATTAAATTTTATTATTTCTTTATCTAAATAAATATTTAAATTATCACGTGATATTATTAACGTCCAACGTACGTTAGATATTAGTATATAAAAAAAAATATATTTATTCACTTTTTGGCTAGTCATTACAATTACTTTTGAAGAACCAATCAATTTTATATTTTGTCCTAATTTTTTTAATTTTAAAAAAACATGTTATAGTCGATTTAGTAAAGATACCAATAACACTGAATAAGTGAATATTCGTCCAATTTCGATATTTCTTATAAATTTTCCCTTCGCTACCTTTACTCTTTTTCATTCTTATCTAACTCAAGAGT